AGGATTAGTTTAATTCACTAACTAACACATTAGTTTAATTAATCAACTTTAGTTCTAATTAATTATGTTTAAATTTTTAGTTTAATTAATCTAATTAATCTTATTTAAGTCTTGATTTAATTATTCTTAATTTTTACTAATCCTATTTAACTTTTAATTAAGCACCCTCTAGGCTCTATTCATTAGACCAAAATCATTAAGCTCCTTACTTAAGGATTTCTAAATCATCTAAGCGTTAAATTTTCAAGTTCAAAATAAATCCCTTAACTTCCAAATACTTAGTTTTCTATCCTAAAGTTCCAAGTTGAAGCTCTTCTAAACTATTTAGACTTATCTTCATGCACAACAATTCTAAGTTCCTTTCTAGCAAAACATAGCACATGTATAATACAATTAAATAAAAGAATTTCTTAACATGAATGGATGCATGAATGTTATGCACAACTTGGTTTGTCACTACTATTGCAGAGTATTTGGCGTGGCATATGCCCTTTACCAATTGTTTCCTATCTTGTATAATGCAATGGATTTTTTCACAATCTATTTTGCGCATGCCTATAGGCTACTTGTTTGTGAATGGTGTAAATTATTTATTTGTGATTAGTTATTTCTAATTGTTTTCATTCCTCTTGTTTTGTTTCTGCATAGATTTTGAAAGTTCTTCATAGGGATCTCTACCAAGTACAATTTGGTTCATAGGCATGGGAATCAGTCTAATCAAATGGTAATTAATCTTCATCGTGTTTGAGTTCCTAAGTTGGGAAACGATGTTGATAGACTAAATTTTACATTTTGTCAAGATGAAACATTAAAAGAATATTTGGTTTTTGGATCTGGTATGAAAACAGTATGAAGGGTAATGATGAATCTATTAGATCAGTTAGTATCTAGAATTGCTTTAATAGACATATGTAGAGTTTGTATGATGAAACATAACTTTCTCTCTTGGTGTGCAACCTTTGGTAACCACGGTGCTGGGTTTGCCAATAATTTCACCTCAAGCTTGATCTAGGTTGTGATATTCAAATTAGGATTGAAAGTTTGGTGAACTCTCAGCTTATGTCTGAGTGGTTATAAGTTAGAACTTAACTACAGCAACTACACCAAGGCTTTAGGTTCTTTTGTGATTATTCAAGTCACTGGTTCTCTAAGGATTTTGTCCATCATACTGGTGTTTAAGGACCACTGCCCCTGAATTTTCTTGTGACTGATCCCATACCTTTTCACTTTTTGCATATCCTATTCATAACTTTCAATGATCCCTAAAGGGACTCCCTGTAGGAGAGGGTTCAAGAAAGGAGTTGGAAAATTCGAAGATCTTCGAAGATCCTTGAAGAACAACTTCGAATTCTCTAGAATATGATGAGAGGCTTAGATTCTTCAATAATCTCAACTTAGGAACACAAAAACAAAGGATCCCATACCTTTTCACTTTTTGCATATCCTATTCATATCTTTCAATGATCCCTAAAGGGACTCCCCAACAATATAGGTTTGTATTCTGACCCTCTTTAAGGTACTTGGAAAAAGAAAAAAAAAAAAAGAAAAGGTGATCTTGCAATGAAATGTTCATTATGCCGACAGCTTTCAAAATTCTAGAATCCCAATGAGGTCCAATTTTTTTTTTTTTTTGGGATAAATATACGAAATCCTTTTTTTTTCGATTTTATTCTTTGTCCGCCCAGAAAACCATCTTATAAATGAAATTTCAACAAGTCTTCTCTTTTTAATTCATATATGGTTTATTGCCCATACGTCAAAGTAGCAGAGTTAAGAGGATAGATACGTGATAATTGTTTATTAGATATTGATAGTTTATTTACATGATTTTGTTTTCAGAGGAAAAAATGTTTGCCTAATTGGCTACACAACATTGTTTGAATGAACCTAGTTGGAACAGCTGATGCATTTTCTTGGCCATTTTGTGGCCTTTTCATTAGCAATGGCAACGGGGCGGGGCTGGGGATCACACTCCCCGTCCCCGATCCACGATGGTCAAATTTCCCCCCTCCTCGATCCCCGACGGGGAAGCTATCACCGCCCCCACCCCAGCCCCCTAACGGGGATCGGGTTTCCCCGACCCCGAACATTCCCCGGCCAAAAATAAAATAAAAAAAACTTTCAGAAAATACATCAACATCATCATCGTCTGAAACAAATGTAGTAAAATTAAGAAAATTTGTGTATAATTAACCAATGCAAAAATTTGTGTAAATCAATGCAAAAATTGTGTATAATGATTTGAAATTTTTGTGTAAATCATCTGAAACAAATGAGACAGATCTGAAACAGAAATTTGTGTATAATGAGACAGATTTGAACCAGATTTGAAAGAAAAAAAAAATCTGATGGGCGGTGTGAGACACGGTGGTGGTGAGAGAGGGAGTAGATGACGACAGATCTCAGATCTGGTTTGGTGACTGACGAACGACGAAGGAGATCGGTGACTGACGAACGCGAGAGTGAAGCGGCGGTGCGAGCTATACGGCGACTCCGACGTCTTGGACAGTGGCGGTGGCGCCGCTAAGGAGGAGCAGATGTGCGTCTTGGACAGTGACCGTGACTGAGTAGAGAGTGAGTGTGTGTGTGAGCAGAGCAACACAGGAAGTGATATAAGTCTAATACATTGGTTTGGTATATTATAAATATAATATACGGACCGGTTTGGTTTATTATTATTATATATATATATATAAATATATATAAAGGGTATAAAAGTAATTTCACTTCGGAGAAATTCGGGGACGGGGATCGGGCCGGGCCGGGGATTAAACACTGATCACCGTCCCCGGCCTGTGACAAATCGGGGATTGATTTTCAAATACTGTCTTCTCCCCGTGGGGGTATTTTTCGGGAAAAAACCGCTCAAATCGGGGTCGGGATCGGGGATCCCCGTCGGGTCGGTTTCAAATTACCATCCCTACTTTTCATTTGCGATCTGCAGAAGAGAAGCATATTATTTTTAAATTGACATTTATATTCAAATTTAAATTGACATTTATATTCAAATTTTTTAACTTTCGTTTTTGTTTTTTTTTATGTTCTTTTTCATCCACAGTGGCATTTTTTGAGTGCTCCTGATTGTTCTTTTCACAATGTTCTTTCTTGAAAATTTCTTCAATTGGTTTTGCAGATCACATATAATCTGGACCACTAGCAAGAATCTATACAGAGTATCGTATATGTTATTCGCTCTAATTTTTCTTCCAAGCATATTATAATGTCACATTTTAATTTGTTATATTGGTTGGATGTTTGAAAATAGTTAATTTCAGAAACTATTATAAGATGTACTAATAATTTCTCTGTGTTCTAATTGTCTCGGCTTTCTGGGGCACATTCTGCACCATGAGGCAGTGGTACTTGGAGCAGAACAACTTCAGTTTCAGGAATCAACTGTTTAGTCGTTCAATGATGCCTTGTGGAGAAGAGAGAGAGAGAGAGAGAGAGAGAGAGAGAGAGCGAGAGAGAGGGGGAGAGAGAGAGAGAGAAAGAGAGAGAAAGAGAAAGACAATGAAATGAATAAAGACAGTGGTTTGTAGCTGAATTTGGTATAAAACTATTTTATTATCTTTGTTTGGAGTTTGAACCTATGAAATGAATAAAGACAGTGGTTTGTAGCTGAATTTGGTATAAAACTATTTTATTATCTTTGTTTGGAGTTTAAACCTAATATTGCTTTTCTTTGTGTGGATCTATTGAATGTTTTGGATGTTTGATCACCCAATTTGGAAACTATTTATGGGTGAAAACTTTATGCTACATTCCTTTACTTTGGTTCTCATTCGTTCTTTTTGGATATATTTCATGCTAAATACTATAAATTAAAGCAGAGACCAGTCATAGGAACTGGACTCACATTGATCTATCTGACTACCAATAAGACTGTTTCGGACCATCAATTACTTAATGCTCCGTTTGTTTCAACGGAAATTTTTTTCCTACAGAACAAAATGTTTTCAAAATGAGTTTTCCATAGAAATTTTCCGTTGTTGGTTTGTGTTCTCAAGAATTAATGGCCGGGCAGGGTGGTAGTGGTGGTGATGAACAATGGTGTTGGTGGTGGGTGATAAAGTGGTGATGGTTTGGTAGTAGCAGTGGCGGTGGCGGTGGAGATGGCCGGGCAGGGTGGTAGTGGTGGTGATGGACAATGGTGTTGGTGGTGGGTGATAAAGTGGTGATGGTTTGGTAGTAGCAGTGGCGGTGGCGGTGGTGGTGGCAATAGTGGGGTGATGGTGGTAGTGGTGATGATGGTGGTTGTGGTGGTGGTGGTGGTGTTGATGGTGGCAGGGGTGGTGATGGTGGTTGTGGTTATGGCGACAGTGTTGGTGGTGGGGTGGTTGTGTTTGTAAACGTATTCTACCTTTTAAAAGTGGAAAACGTTTTTCGTCCAAATTAGTTTATTTTTCAGTTTGACCATGAGAAATGTTTTTTGTTATTTGAAATGTTTTCCTTCCTATCTTTAGTCATCAATTGCTCTCCTTTCAGTACATGCAGTCTGTTTGGATAGGCTGATTTGGTGAGAAATGATTAGAAATGAAAAGAAAGAGATTTCTTTCTCATGTTTGGCTATAAATTTGGTGAGAAATGATTAGAATTGGGAGAAAGAGAACTCTCTTAGTTTTTATATTTGATTTCTCACCAAAAGTGGTGAGTCTTGGTGAAAAAAAAATTGACTGGTTATAAATTTTTTATAATACTAAAGATTTTTTTTTTTTTTACGTATATCCCTCTCTCACATGTTTTACTTTCTTATCCATCTAAACGTGATAGTGAGGAAATACACTATTTTCTTTTCTTTTCTCTTCCAAATGAGAAACCACAATCAATTTTCTCTTTTTTTTGTCAAGGTTCAACTTTTGTGAAGTCTTTTATAAAACTAAAATTTTAGATATATTTGTCACGACCCAAACCCGCCCTTATAGGTTTAGCATCATAACCGGCCAGTAATCCTGGGATTACCGAAGGCCTCTGAGACAAATTAACATAATATTAGGGGCTAACGGAAGCAAATAACAAATATACATCGTCCATTGAGCCGTGCAGACTTATGTGAAACAGAAAAATTTTAAACTTTTTATATACTTATATACACATCATCATATATATACACATATAAGCTAGACATAAGGGACTTAGCCTTATTCACACAATACACAAGGACTTGTCTAGCTGGACAGGAAAATAAAACTTCAACTTATGCACTTAGCCATAACCACTAGTCATGTCCGGAACCTCTACGGGAGGCACATAGGTTGGCTGTCAAGAACTGATTCCAGGCAAACGCCTCTAAGCTTGGTCATGTGCCTGATTACCTACATACATATATATAAACAATGAGCTGGGGCCCAGTGAATAATAACAGAGTAAATGATTTAATGAATGATGTCCATCACAGAGTTAGAAATCAAATTCTTATCAGAAACAGAGTCTTACGCATATTCAGATTCCAAATCAAAAACAGATTCATATACATATTCATAATCATTTCCATATTCAGATTTTGCATATAATCATACGTGGTACATCCATTAGCGTTAACAAATCCGATGACCCATAAAGGGACAGCCTTAAAGGCATTCCGATGACTTATGTGCACAGAGACATTTCTAATGACCCATAAAGGGACCTGATGACCCATGAAGGGACGCATATCATATGAAGCTAAGGATGCCACGAATAACTTTCAGAATCTTGGACAATCATTCATTCATTCAAAACATAGCGTAGCATTTCAGAAGACTAATCATTTTATGTCATAATGTTCAGAAAATATTTAACATTGAACATAATTTTACAAGTTATTACTCATAGATAGTTGCAGAAGCAGATCAGACAGATCACAATCAGGCAGGCAATAGCTCGTGACCTACACAAGCACATAACATATACACATTGAAATACAATATTACTCCCTTGATCAAACTTGACTTTTCTTGTCTTTTTCCGTCTAAATAGTCCGAAATTCTACTACGCTTATTCTTTCTCATTCAAATAAACCGGGTTCTTGTTTCACATATTCTTCCATTGCTAAGCTCTTCTTTTCCAAATAGATTGATCTTTTACTTGGCTTCTTAAACAACTACCACTAGATCAATGATTCATTTTTCAACTAACTAATCTATGTTGATTGGTAGCTTATTAATCTTTATTGAGTCATAAGTCATGTCTAGAATGCCTTAGAAAGAGATGAGAATAAAAATGTGAACTAAATGCAATTTTTCAAAATATGCTGAAAATGGGTCTCCGCTCGAGCGCCACTTTGGTCGCTTGAGCAGACTGTAAAATTTGAAAAACTACTGGGAGCTCGATTTTCACACTCGAGCGAGACTTTCCTCGCTCGAGCTGACAATGCAAATTCTGAAATTCCAAAATTGCAATTGAAGTTCCAATTTGGTATTCAAAGCCTCAAAACATGTACTTTTAGTACACAAAAATGGAAAACCATTGTATAATTTAGTAAACACTTTCAATTAGAAATCATTCATTCAAAATCATACTCCAATTGTCCAAATTTAGTTTTAACTCATCTTCTCTATATCAAACCCGATTTTGGGCCCACTAATTTTAAAACACGAATTAAACTTTCAAAGCTCTTGAAAAATTCATGATGTACGTACAATTGGAATTCAATTTCATGTTAGGACAAATAAATTCAACCAAAAGTAATTAATTTCTAAGTTAATTTTCATACATTTGATCATAGCTTCAATTTCTCATTTTCTCTTTAATTACATAAAATTGGCATCAAGTTCTTTCTATTTTCCTTGAAATTATGAAATTGAAGTCATGAAACTTCTTATAAATTTTCCAGCTAATTTCCATAATCTTAAATTCAACTTAATTTGTAACCTCAACTTAATTCATAATCAAAATATGTTTAATTCAAATAAAATCTTAAATTACATTGCATACATGGATTAAAAGACTAATTATAAAATCAAAGCTTTATCTAGCATTAGGATTAATTCTAATTTTCCACAAACTTGATGTTCATAAAACATTTCCCTTTTCTCTTCAAAATATGAACTTAAATGGCTCAATTTCTTCAAAATCCATGATGCATGTAAATATAAATTCAAATACTCACTGAATTCCCTCATGCATGTAACAATGGAACTTAATCTCATACAAGATTACAAAAATTAAACTCAAAATAATTAATTTTTAATTTATTTTCCATAATAATCCACATGCATGTAACCCATTTCAAATTAACTTCTATAATTTTGAATCTAGTTCAATTTCATCACCATTTTACTAATTCCTTTTAATTACATGAAATTGAAGTTATATGACTCTGAGGAAAGTATTTGCAGGTATGAAATTAAGATTAAAACTAACTAATTTTCTGTATTCAAAATCAAATCATAATTTCATTCTTCAATTACTCTAATTAGATTTTTATTAATTTCCTTCATATCTAACCCAAATTTAAACTTATCCATCTTTTACACATGAATTAAATCTAAAATCTTGAAATTCCAACATGCATGCAAGGATGAGTTTCAATTTGTGAAGAATAATAGAAATCAAACTCTAACTAATTAATTTTCAATTTATCTCCATAATCTATAAACATAATTCCAATTTTCTTCATCTTCTTGCCAATTCCTATTAATTACATGATCTTGAGTCCAATTTCATCTTTAATTTCAAGTGTAATATAAAGATTCTATAAAAATTAAGCATAAATTCATACCTTAAACTTTAATTTCAGCATTCCTTTACTTCCCCTTTTCTTTTCTTCATTTTCTTTCTTTCCTCCATTGCTTTTCCTTGAGTTCTTCTCCAGAAATAGTACAAATCTTGGACTCTCTCTCTCTCTCTCTCTCTCTCTCTCTCTCTTCGGCTTTTTCCTTCCTACAACCTGATTGAGTTCCTTTTTCCATCTCATATACATGTAGATAATGGATGTCCAGCAATGCTCTCAACTTTTCTAGAAGTCTCACAAGCATAAGTCAACATCTTAATTAATTAGAGCAATATAGGATTATCTTGCCGATTATGTATTAATTTAATTGATTACTCTCTCTCTCTCTCTTTTTAATCAAATTTTCAAAAAACTTCAAATATTTAATTAAACTTATTTCTATCTTAAATTTTGATTTCTTAAATCATTTAAGCCTTCAATTTTTTATTAGATTCAAAATTTTCGTCAATTAAATTATATATTCAAATTAGACACCCCATAAATAAATTTAATTCGTAATAATTATAATTCTCAATCTTCGTAATTTAATTATCTTGATTAACTCCAATTAGGATCTAATTAATCAAATCTCAATTTTACTAAACTGAAACGAATATTTAATTAAACTCTCGAATGGACCCATAATTAAGATTAAATTGATTCAACTTCTTAACTTCACTTCCTTAAGCCATTTGAACCCTTAATTTCGAATTCCAACATAAATCTTTAATAGAATCATCTACGAGTCAGATCTCACAATTCCCATAAATCCGAAATTAAATTATAATACTTGACAATTAAATTTTAAATCCTGTTAATTAATCAAGTACTAATCATTATACGTAATGCGGTCGTTACAATATTCAAACTGCAAATAAAAAAAATTGCAATATTTTACCAAAAATACTTTGGAAAGTGTGGTATTTTTATTATATATTAGCCAAAAGACTCAATTTTTAGCCACATTTTCCACTAAGCTTTTCAAAGCCTAAATGTTATGTACTTTGAAAAAATATTCAATAAATGTTCAAAATGCAAATGCATGGAGCAGTTTTTCTCTGGGTGGTGTGGGTCACTCTCGAAATAGATCTAATTTACATTTCTCATCTTTCAATTCCTTCCATCAATGTAAGAGGTTAAGGGATTAATTCTTTTACTAAAAAAAATTTCCAGTACAACTAACTTATCACAAAGTGTTGAAAATGCTTAATACAGTGTAATTTTGTTCCCCTCGATTTAAAATTTTATGTCAATGATTTAGAAGTCAAAATGAAACTAGAAAGAAAATGAAACATGAATAAAATTTAGAGAGTGAAAATGTTATTAAAATTTTAAAAATAAATAATACATTAATTTGAACATTGTATGCCTTTCACATGATGGCTTCCTGTCATTTTTTTTTTCCATTGAAATTGATGTAGGAACAATATTGAAGCTCACTTAAAAAAATGTCACTATCTATATATTGACATGGCTAAGGAGAGGGCATTGATGGATGACTTTGCGATGGGAGGGAATAATGTCTTTGTGTCTTATTTACATTTGGTAGATGACACTATCTGTAGACACTCTATTTTTGACTGTTCCTAAGACTTAGACGTCATCGCTCGTGCACTCGATGATCGTGACTATTTTTGCTCGTTTTGGTGACCGAAGCCCTCGGCGGAATGCCCTGTCTTTGAGCCTTCAAACCCCATCCATCCTGTGCCTTGTCTTGGACCAAAACCTTCAGGCTTGCAACCCATGGTGGCCTGCCAGCCACCAATTGAGGATGTCGGCCACCCAAGTGGCCTGTCGGCCATCACTGGTGGCCTGCTGGCCACCAGTGTCTTTTTTCAGATATTTTGTTGATAGTTGTTCCAGCTGTTGGCACAATTGGTCTCATCTCCATACACGTGTATGGATGGATTTTTCTCAACCAAATGCTTGTTTATCTATATATATAGGGTCTCCTCCCCCACTTTGAGGGTTGAAAATTTTGGAACAAAAAATCTTTCACTCTCTCTCTCTCTTGCAAATTTGTACATATTTGCCTACTTACACTACACTTTTGCATATATTTCCTTAACCAAAGTTGATCATCTTTGAGCTGAGGTTCTTTGAAGCCATCTTGGAGCTCTTGAAGGTGGTTTTAGCTTGAATTAGTACCTAGAATTGTTCTTTGCTTCAAGAGGTATAATACTTGTCTTTTAAGCTTTCTTTGCATACTTGTTTTTCTATCTCTTCCTACTGCTTTTGGGCCATAAAAAACTCTGTTCTTGTGGGCTGAAATTGGTGTTTTAGGCCATTTAAGGTTAGAGAGGTATCTCACCCTTCTTTATTCCTTGCTTTTAAGGCTTTTTCACCTTTGTTTCCCACTTTCAAACTATCTTTTCTTGGGCTTTTAGCACTGAATTTCAGAGTATTTTTAGTGGAAAAAGTCATATTTTGAAGTCCAAAATTGGAGGGGTTAGCCTTCCCTTCTTGTGTCTAGTTTGCTAGCCTAGTTAGCTCCATGTGTTAGCTTAATTTTCTAGCCTTTTGTAGCTTGATTTCATCATGTTTTAGGCTCTATTATAGATTATTTTAACTCTATTTTTGGTTGTTTATTGCATTTGAGTCTTGTTTTGCATGCCTCTAGTGTAACAGTCCTCATAGGCTTGGTGTTTTAGGCCTTTAAGCACCACTTATTTGAGTTGATTGCATGTTTTAGTGCATTTCTCACTTCATTTCAGCACTTGTACTCTCTGCAACCTCCCTCATTTCTTCACTTTTTCATTTGCTTTGAGGGTTGTTTTAGCCTTAGGATAATTTAGCTTAGCTAGCTTATTCATTCGGACTCTCCTTCATGAGAGCGTAATGTAATAATGTGTATGTCTTCCAACCCCACGTTTTTCCCTTTTATTTAACTGCTTTTGATGGTTAGATTAGGTACGTGTTTCAATTAGCATACCTTATGCTTGCATCCATTCATCTTGTATTGCATGCACCGAGGCTTGGCGTATCATTCAAACTGCATTGTCATTTCAATACTTCTTCGAACACGTGCTTAAATTGCATGCTATTTAAATTGATCCATATACCATATTAGTAGCTGAGCCTATATTAGTTGCATATTGCATGCGTTGCATTAGACATTTGACATAGTTAGAAATCATGCATATTTTTCTAACTCATATCTTTTTAGCTTGGAGTATTAGGTGAGTTTTTAGTGCTTTAGCATATTTGCATGAGTGTGAGTGATTGCCATGACTACTATGCTTTCCATGAGACTAAGTGCTTACTTGATAAACTACTTGGATGCCTGTAGATGAATGATTATTGTTTGAATTGGAACAATCAATAAATGTACGTTCTTTAAGCCCACTATGTTTAGTGGCAAATTCGCAAACTTTAAGCCCACTTGAGGTGGCAAAATCAAACCCTTTTCGCAAAACAAACATGAAATTGAGTTGTTCAAATTTGGACAAACTAGCCTATACTTGCTTGTACGCATCACATAGTAATGCTAGCCTAACAACCGGAACAAGAGCACATAATGTTGATAAAAATAACATCATCATTAGTAAAAGCCGATCTTTGATCGGGCGAGCGGGGGTGCTCAATTTATGACATTTCCCTCTCGTACCTAAGTTCTCGAGCCGAGGCAACTTTGGTGATGATGGACACATGGCCTTTGGCACAAGTCATGGGTTTCCTAAATTTTTCTAAAAATAAAATATTTAAGTGGCAACTCTATATCTGGAAAAGCAGTTCAATTTTGGCATTTTTGATTCAAAATTGATTTTCCAAAAGATTTGCCGGATTTGGACTCTTTGGTGTTTATCAATTTCACACTTCACTTGTGAAATTAGATTCAGAACCATGAGAGTCTAAACTGTAGGGCTTCTTTCGAACCTTCCGAAAAGGGACGCGAAAAAGTCGAGCTACTATCGATATATTTTGTTGTCTGTGGAAGAGCATAAAGTGGTTAACTTATTTTGAATTTGAAGTATCACCAAATACTCGGGGGTTTCCCATTGGGGTAATCCTAGGTGCATAGATTTTTGGGACCTAGTTATGTAAGAAAATAGTGAAAAGGTTGGAGGGTTAGAAAAATGAATTGATTTCTAGGGAGGAAGATTTACATTGGTTCAACAGTGTTATCAAGTATTCCTATTTATCATTTATCCCTTTTTGAGATTGGGTGAGTGCTTCAAACAAGATTAAAAGAATTATGATAGATTTGTTGTGGGAGGGATGTGATGAAGAGAAGAATGGTAACTTGACCAATTTGGGAAGTGGCTTGTCTCCCAAAGAAGAAACAGGGTCTTGTTGTTGGTAATATTGTTGCTAAAAATGAACCCTTGCTTGCCAAGTGGTTATGGATGTTTCCCATAGATTATGCTTCTCTACTGTATTCTGTCACTAAAATCAAGTATAGGGTTCAAGCTACTGGCTGGGATGCTAGAGTGGTAAATTGGAGAAATTCGTGTTCTCCTAAAAAATGTATTTCTCAAGGTTTGGTTTTGTTTGTTTTGGGAAATATGGAGAATTTCATTTTTGGGAAGATGTTTAGGTTGGGGATGTTTCTTTTGATAATTCATTCACTTGATTATGTTGCTTATCCCATTGTCAGAATGCTCCCATTGCTTCTATGACATAGTCCTTTCTTGTTTGTTCCAATCTCTGGGAATTTCAATTATTTAGAAGTCTTAATGATCATTGATCGTGAGTGTAATGAGTTGACTTCTTTGTTATCTATTCTCGGTGGTGTTTCAATGATGCCCAATTGTGTTGATAAGAGATTGTGGATTGATCATACTTCGGGTCTTTTTTCTTTTTTCTTCTATATTCTTTTTCTGACAATCATTGAGAATCTAAATGTGCCACTCTTTGAGCCTTGTAAGAGGATTTGGGATGCATATGGTCCTCTTAGAGTCAGTTTTTGTTTGGTATGTGGCTTACAAAAAGATCAATACCAATGGCATGATTCATAGTAGGAAACCTAATTGCTTGTTATCTCCACAACGTGGTGTATTATATACAAGGGATAAGGAGAACAATGATCATCTATTCCTGCATTGTGCTATCAATTTGGCATTATGGTGGAGCCTATTTCATGTGGTGCAAGAGCATTAAGTGGTTCCACTTTCTTGTACTCACATGTGTAATGTTCATTTTGGGGGTTTGGTTAAAGTAAGAAGGCACAAGTTGTTTGCGGGCGTGTAGTTTGCGCTATGTTTTGGGGGTGTGGTTGGAAGGAGATGCATGAATGTTTAAAAACAAGTTTGATGGGATATATGATAAAATATGTTATATGTCATCCTTTGTATTTGATCAATAATGATTGGAGAGTGGTGTGTTATTTGTAACTTTATTTTCTTTTAATCTCTTCGAGGACGTATTATTGTCTTTGCTTATACTTTCTTTTTTCGTTTTGGTTAATATTAATTTATTTCATTGTCGATAAAAAAGTGAAAATTTAAGTAGTAAAATTCGTTCAATCAAACTAGTTTGCTTGACTTTTTTGTGCACGTCATGCGATAATGTACAATGACACGACAATATTGGTATTGGTGGAACCTAGTATAGTAGAGAGAAGCTATACAGGACCCAAGCCAACTCACACATGGGTGTTAATACGACATGAGTTACAGTTGGATGTTTGCTTAATGGACAACTAAACCCCGAACCTGATTAGCTACTTCCAGGTGTCATCCTTTGGCAACTAATACTGTAGGATTTAAGCCAATGTCACCCACTCAGATTCCCACTTTCCTTTTCGCTACCAATTCTTTCCCTCTCTATTCGAGATTTCAAAATCAAACCCCAAATCCGAAAACCTAGATCATTTTCACCCATCGCCATTGCCATCGCAATTCATGGCCACTGTCAACGGCGATTTAACCTAACAATCACCTAAAGAAACTCAGGAAAAATAACTGGTAATCACTCTAGATGGAAATTCACTCAAATTCCCTAAACTCCCTCCAGAACTCATCTTTGAAATTCTATTGCGATTACCTATCAAGTCTTTGCTTTGGTTTAGAAGTGCATGCAAGTCTTGGTGTACCATGATATATGGGTGTGAAAAAGCACCTCAGTCTCATAACCAAGGATGACACCATCAACCCATGGAGGATCATGATTCGATATCCATTTCATAAGCCAAAGTCATGTTCTTTGGACTCGGTTTTTGACAATGAATCTCAATTACCCATTAAAGACTCTGTGCCTAGATGCTGGGATTGGGGGCTTATGTGATGGGTTGGTATGTGTTTACTTTGTCGAAAATTATGATGACATCATTTATATATGGAATCCAACAACTGGAAAACACAAAATTTTGCCATCTTTTGGGAAAGGATTTATTCTTGCCATTTCTTATGGGTTTGGATATGACTCCTCCAATGATGATTACAAGGTGGTTAGGATCAGTAATTTTAATGATTCACTTGAAGTTAAGATTTATTCCTTAAGGACTGATTCATGGAGAAAGATTTAGGATTTCCCTAGCAATATAATTGGTTTTCATTCAATGGATTCAAGTAAGCTCGCAAATGGATCACTCAATTGGGTTGGAATCAATCCCAGCGATCACTCTTGGGTTATCATATCTCTTGATTCAGTGGAGAAGACATACTGAGAAATTCCACAACCTAATTATGGGAAGGAGTTTTCTAGGTTATTAGTTTGGGCTTTGAAAGGAAATCTGTGTGTTGTTTGTGAGGATACTTTTACTTTTTATGATGTGTGGGTAATGAATGAATATGGCAAGAAAGAGTCATGGACTAAATTGGTCAGTATGACTTATGTGCCGTAGCAAAGGCATGTTCTGTGGTCAGAACCTTTGTGGTATTTCAAGGATGGTGAAATTTTGGTGAATTTTGGTGGGACATTGATCCTTTATGATCTCATAAAACATACAATCAAGTATCGTTCCATTTATGGCGTTCCTGATTTTCACGAAGTGATGATCTATCAAGAGAGCTTAGTTTCTCCTGATGATTTTATGAAGTTGCCAATTTACCTTAATAATTAAAGAATGAGAAGAAGAGGTAATACAAATTCTAGTTATATCTTTTGCTATTTCAAGGTTTCTTTCTTTTATATACAATATCTTTAATTATTTCCATGTTTATTGTGCCCTTCCTATTCATTGAAGTTGGAACTATAATTCGAAGAGCACTAATCTTCATTCTTTATGCTTTCCGAAGTTTGTCTTTCTATAGGATACTTTGTCAAATTTCAAGCAATAAAAGAGTGATCATATCATAGATATAGAAAGAAATCAATAGTATTGAACTTGCCAAAAAAAGTAATCAATAGTATTTGTGCGGGGAGCAAATATCCAGGCGAGCCCGCACTTATTGCTTCCGAGCTCCGATTCTATCCGATCACCTGCGTGCACAACGGCGGTGAGCTACCTGGCGGTGTGTGGCCGGAAAACCTTTCCGACGATCAAGCTAGACACACACACAAGGATAGAGAGAGAGAGAGAGGACTCAGTAGTGTTTAGTGTTTATCTCACCAAAATGTCATTTGCCCCAACATGGGGGACGCAGACTTACTTATATACCTTTTGCGCGCCAAATCCACTCCCATTCGTCTCTCGACACGTGGTGCTACTATTCCAATTGTCAGCACAAATCTTGCTGAACATCACCTAACCCGACTACCAGCCACTCTACTGGGAGCTCGGCAGCTGGGCTGCATTATCTCGGCTGTAGATGGCCGTGTTGTATAGCTGGCCAGAGCGCCCCGCTCGCCGCGCTCCGCTTCGACCGAGCTCGGGCATATCCCGACATCGCCGAGCTCGGGACAGCTACGCTTGTTTGCCGTGGGCCTTACTGTTGAGCAAACACATGTAGCTCGGTCCAACCTTGTCTTTCCTGGCGCCGGACAACCCATTTGACAAGCTTCGATATCAAGAAGCTACATAGCTCGGTCAAACCACGCCTTGCATTAACCGAGCAGGATCTTTCAAGATAGGGCCGTACTACCTCGGCCCAACCCTTGTTCGGCCCAAACCAGTTCGGCCCAATTCCTGATCATAAATCTCCCTCTCAGTATTATATTCCATTCATATATGTTTTGAATAATGTGTTATAACACAAAAGCCATAAAAAAAGAAATATGAAAAAACTAGAAAGAACACTATCAATTTGCTACAAAATTCCATATGCATTCTTTTCCCTTTATCTTCTAGGCATTTAAGTGGAACATAATAAAAACCAAATAAGTGGGAAGGGAAACTAGTAAACATGGATTGGAAGTCTCACATAACAAGAGATTAATTTATGGTTACTTTAAGTGCACCTTTCACATCTTAGAATAAAGAACTAGGGCTTCAGTTTCTATGATTGTGTTTATCTAGAAAACTTTTCCTTTGAACCATAAAGTACATGCTTTGAGTTAGGATAGTCAATCGAGTTCAACTATTGTAGAGTATTTGGCTTGGCATGTGCCTTTACTATTTCCTGTTTGTTCTTGGGTTTGGTCTAAAGTTTCATGATAATGGTAAGCAACTAGTTGAGTAACTAATACAGGGTACTGAGAGAGAACTTGAGATTTGATAGAGTTGTGGAAGAAAGAAAGAGTTATATGCCCCCTATCAAATCTGATAGAGTTGATAGACTTCTTCCAAACTCATAACTCTTTCTTTCTTGTGAAATGTAAAGAAAGATTCGAAGAGTGGAAGAAAGAAAGAAAGATTTGATAGAGTTGTTCCATATCTTGTGAAATGTAAATGGATTTTTTCACAATCTATCTTGCCCATGCTTATATGTCCCTTGCTTGTGAACAGTGTAAATTGCTTATTTGTGATTAGTTATTTCAAATTGTTTTCATTCCTTTTGGTTTATTTTCTTATGGATTTTGAAAGTTCTTTGTTAGGATGTTTGCCAATTACCAACTGGCTCATAGGCTTGGATGTCAACCCAATCACATGGTATTTGATCTTCAATATGTTTCCTAGGTGGGAAACAACGTTGATAGACTAAAAATTTTACATTTTGTCAAGATGAAACAAAGGAAAATTGAATGGTACTTGGCATAGGTATGAGAAGTATGAAGGGTAATGATGAATCTATTAGATCAGTGGCTATCTAGAATTGCTTTAATAGACTTATGCAAAGTTTGTATAATGAAACATAGCTTTGTCCCTTGGTGTGCAACATTTCCCTAGCAGCTTAGGCTATATTCATCCACTAAAGACTTACATGATGACGACTTCTTCTGGGTGGCTGGAAATTATGAAACAGCCGACGTACCGGGCTGGTTCATCAGCAAGAACTTCGGTTCCACATGTAAGCCACGCTAATTTGCTCGGCTAATACCCTGCCTTCAACATTCTGTACTTAACAATTTTTCCTGTTTCTTTTGCAGCAATTCAGGCCTTGCAATCCAACTACCAATATCCCAACGTTGAAGCCATCCGAACCGTGCTCCGTTGCAGCCACCAGGATTGTAACGAGTTGCTCGGCTACACACCAACCTACAGATACTCAGCTCCACGCCGGAGCAAAGTTACAGACTTTCTCCGTGCTCCAACGCCTCCTCCAGACCCATCTCTACCGAACGTGCCACTAATCCGGCTGACCGAGGAACAAGAGATGGCAAAACGAAGCCACATCAAGAACCTCCTAACAGCCACCTCAATCGAGATACCGAGCATCACCACACACTCGCAAGCTACCGGACAATCCAACGGCCCCGTGGTCGCCTTGGCCTCTCCAGGTGCCGAGCAACCCAGACAAGAAGCTCGCCGGGCTGGCAAAAGGCCTCGCGCAGACCCATCCGCCGAGCTGGTTGCCGAGTTGACCACTGAGCAACCCACCGTTACTGTCGACCCAACACCACCATGGCGACCGTAGTTGAAGCACCGGGGAAAAGACATTCCGGCAACCATTTCCACCAAGGGCGACAAAGAGCACCTACTCGCCTTTGACCTTTCCAAAGCCCTTATACTATCGAGCGACGTGGTCGGCAGCGACCACGTTCCTGACACCCGGTTGGTGAAATCTTCTGTCAAGTCCATGGCCAGGGTAAGTCTCAATCTTTCACTAAAATTTTTACCAAGTGTTTGCACGGTTTCTTCTCTAATCAGACTGTCTTCCTGTAGGCCATCCAGAAGCAACACTTGGTCATAGAGAGAATCTATCGGCTGCGACAGAAGGCGAATAACACTACCGGCCAAGTCCAGAGCCTGCAGACCGAGCTCGGCCGAGCAAAATCCTCACTTTAAATTGCCAATGCTGACAACAACAGGTTGATCGGCCAGCTCGAGGAGGCCGAGAAGAAGAGAGATGAGTTCCAAGCCGAGCTGGACGCACTCAAGGCGTCAAGGGAGAAGGAGTGCGAAGATGCCAACAACACCGACTTCAAGGAAGCCGAGGACATCTACAAGAAGCAGGTCTTCGCAACTCAAGACATTTATTTCAAAGCGGGCTAGAAGTCAGCCTGCGAACATCTCGGTCAAGGTCCTGACACCGATGTGTTTGCCACTCCCCCGGTTGCCTTCCTACCGGTCTACCTCGTGCCTTATGCCAACGACGTCTTCAGCGTGTTGTAAGCTGAGGCCAAGGAAGAGCTTGCTAGAGAAATCGAGGTCAATGCCAAGGAGAGAAGCGGCCAGGAGCAGCCCGGAGAAACTGAGGTCGGTGTTCAAGAGCGAACTACGGTCGACCTGGAAGCAGCTGATGACGAGTTCTTCAATCTTTCCACCCTAGTGTAGTTCTCTTTTTCTTTCATTGTTTGGTTTGCATATGTAACTGGGCTCTCTGCCCCTCCTTTTGTACTACTTTTACATCAATGAAAAAGCTTTAATTTCATCAAGTGTTTGTGCAGTTTTTAAGCCTCATAACTTCAGCCGAACAAGATATCTCGGCGGGCAAACCACTTTAATTAACTGATCTAACCGGAATAAACATCTCGGTTGAGAAGAGCTAAATTGAGCAAACCATCAATTCTTTCAACCGGAGTAAACATCTCGGTTGAGAAGAACTGAGTTGAACAAACTATCAACTCTTTCAACCGGAATAAACATCTCGGTTGAAAAGAACTGAGTTGAACAAACAATCAACTCTTTCAACCGGAATAAACATCTCGGTTGAGAATAACGGAGTTGAGCAAACCATCAACTCTTTCAATCGGAGTAAACATCTCGGTTGAGAAGAACTAAGTTGACCAAACCATCAACTCTTTCAACCGGAGTAAATCATCTCGGTTGAGAATAATGGAGTTGAGCAAACTATCAACTCTTTCAACCGGAGTAAACATCTCGGTTGAGAAGAACTAAGTTGACCAAACCATCAACTCTTTCAACCAGAGTAAATCCTCTCGGTTGAGAATAACTGAGTTGACCAAACCATCAACTCTTTGAACCGGAGTAAATCCTCTCGGTTGAGAAGAACTAAGTTGACCAAACCATCAACTCTTTCAACCGGAGTAAACCATCTCGGTTGAGAATCTCAAAACTTAAAGCAACATTAAAAAATGCTAAGGCAAAGATGAGTTCTATATATTTGACACAAATGAATATTACATGTAAGGCAAAAAATTCCTTTGCACAAAAAGAAAGCTAAAGCTTTACACAAAAAAGAGAGCTAAAGCTAGAAATAATACAGCTTGAGGTTGGCTGCATTCCATGGCCGGGGTATTCTTCCACCATCCAAGTCCTCCAGGTGACATGCCCCCTTGCCTGCCAGACCGGTTATCTTGTAGGGTCCTTTCCAATTTGCCCCTAGTTTGCCTTCACTTGGCACCAGGGTATTGCCCATGACCTTCCTCAAGACCCAATCGCCTACTTTAAACGGTATGGGATGCACCGTTTTATTGTATTTCCTTGAGAGCTCTTGTTGGTAGGCAGCCACATGGATGAGAGCCTTTTCCCGATGCTCTTCCACTAGATCTAGTTCAAGAGCAATGGCTTCGGCGTTCAGCTCGGGTTCAAAACCTTCACGTCTGAGGGTGGGCATGCCGACTTCCAAAGGTATGACTGCCTTCAGCTCGGGTTCAAAACCTTCACGTCTGAGGGTGGGC